CCAACTCCCCTACAATGAGCAGGGACACCTACAGCTACAACAGGTGCTCAGAGCCCTACCCAGCTTGGCCTTGAATGTCTCCAGGGATGGGATTCCCGTCACCTCTCTGGACAACCCGTGCCAGTGCCTCAACATCCATACTGAAAAAATACATCTTCCCTGCATCCAATCTGAACCCACTCTCTTTTAGTTTGAAACAGGTTCCCTTGTCCTGTGAGGATTTAACAATCCTCATTTAACAATCCTATTAGGGATTAATAATAGACTCTGCAGAGCACTGTAGCCAGAAAGACATTTCCACTCAAATCAGTGGAATGCTGGAAAATAAAATTAAAAACACTTAAAAGAATGGGCTGAACTGGAAAACATGCACAAGGCTTTGTATGGAAACTCAGGAATGGCCATACAGTTTTCATTAGAGTCATGTTTCAGTATACAGACCCACACAAGTGCCAAGTGCTCCATTCTGCAGGTGTTATGTATTGCACATTGTGTGCCATGGTAAGCAAACACATTAAGTGTTTCATTCAATTCCCTCATTAAGAGGGAATTGAATGGACTTGAATCCAGGCACTCCAGGGCCTTATGGGCCTACAGTCACAGCAACTTGCACTGAATGTTAAAAATGCCTCCATGGATGCTATTTGCACACAAGCTCCACCCCATTCCCACTGCTAAATGGGAGGTCCACATTTTCCTGACATGTCCCCACAGATGCAGACCTGGAGTGCTGTGCCGTCAGCCCTGCTGGGTGATTGCTCTCACCCCCTGGTCCAGGCTGGATCTGCATGGGAGGCATCACTCCATCAATGCAGCTGTCACTATTCGAGTGCCACCGGTGGGCCAAGCAACTCCCGTCTGAGCTCATTGCCAAAGCCTGGAAGGGCACAACACATTCTGAGACTGTGAGCTTGAGCGGTTCGTTTTGAAGTGGATGAATTTGCAGGAAGGGTGTCTGTGAGGTGCCTAAAATCTATCATTCCACTCGGCATCGCTGTTAGGCTCTGCTGAGGATGAGCTGAGTTTCAGGACACCCGCAGCCTTGAGGAACAAGACTTTGGTGGCTGCCAGAGATCTGCTGCCAGGCCCAGGCTTGGGAAGATGAGACTTATCTGGGAGATATCTGTAATCTGATCCCTTGGCTGCTCCAGGGACAGAGCACATGGGGGAGGCCATTGGAGATGCATGTCAGATCAGAATTGACTGCAGCCACATGTCTGTGCCTATGGGGTAGTCTGACTTTCCAGCTTCAATTTCCATTTTGTGTCACACTGAAATTTTAGAATCATTTTTTCCATGTGGAGTTGGCAATGGTACAAATTTTGACATAATGCTAGAACAGATTTTCTTGGTGGACACGAATGTATCCTTTATTCGGTGAGCTCAGAATGTTCTCTGCTGTTTGGGGCACAAAATGCTCCTTTTCTATGAGAGATTTCTGCATGTTGCTCTTTTCTGCCAGCTGGCTCCTGGTGAAAAGACGGGGTCTTGTGCACAGCACGATGTCCCACGTCTAGAGATTAGGATCTGCAATGGGAGATGGCAGTCTGCGATGTGACCACTAGGTGGGAACAGAACCAGTGGCAGAAGATTTATGAGTCGCAGCTGTTCAGGAATACTGATTAAGGAAAGACTTTTCCTTATGTTTGTCTAATTTGATATCATTAGAACCTTTCTAGCTGAGCCTTCCAACTGCTGAGGGTCTGGAATACCCTTGGTTGCAGTGTTTTCTTCCATTCCAAAACATGTTACGAGGGAGAAGGCTCTTGGAGATGGTGTGGGAAGGGTTTGTGAGCATCTCTCTCAGCACTGCCTGGGAAATGATAGCTTGCATTCCCTCTGCCCAGACTTCCCTGCTGGTGTAAATTAATCAGATCTTCCAGCATTTGACCTTGCTCACAAAAGTGCTCCTGTCTTCCTGGCAATCTTCCTACAAAGGCTGAAGCTTGCTGCCTCTTGCACCACTGTTTCAAAGATGCTTGTTATTGGTATGTATGGGCTGGTTGGATTGGGAACATCGAAGGTGCATCAATTTTGAAAGGCACTGAGTTCTCCCATTTGCTGTTCACTTTATTATGGTGTCCTTTTGACAATAAGATGTCTCACCGACTTTTCTTGTCCTTATTTAAACCCTATTATTGCTGATTTTCTGATACCTTATTGTAACTCTTTGGGCTGGTTTCCACTGTCTCCCTCTCAGAAGCAAGCTGTTGGTTTACTCGCTTCTTGTTTCATGCACCCCAATGGAGATCCATCTACCATTAGCTAGCTTATCTGCTAAAAAAAGCCCTGTTTCCCCATCCTCTGCTGCCTAAATGACAGCAGTTCTGGAAGAAGCAGCTAAACTGGCTTTTCTTCCTCATTCATATGTGGCTTATACAACTACCTCAGTTTTCCGTTATAATAAAGAGCACTAACCATCAGCCTGAAAAACCAGAACAAAAAAAGCCACCGTCACAGGACCACTAGCAAACATCCAACAGTGGCTCCATGTTAAAGCTGCTGCTGGATCATTATTGCATTTCTTCTCCTAAATTCCTGATGCTTTTCATACCAGCATCTTGATTACCTCTGCTGACTGAATCTGAAGGATCAGACCAGCAGCCACCAGGGTGGGGCAGAGAGATTTCTCAATATTTTTTTAGCCAATTGTTTTAATCTCCCAGTTTGCTGGGAAAGCTTTTAATCACACTGGATGGAATTATGTAATGGGAGTGTTAGAGTAATTTAGGTTTGGACAGCTTTATTAAAAGAATAATGACTATTTTTGCAAGATCAAACTTACACACTTTTCCTTCCTTCCCTCATTCCTCC